CTGAGATAAATAATATCTGTTGAAAGGTTTTCAATTTCTTTCAAAAAACTTGATTTCTCACTGCCAAGACTTTCCGCTATACTTTTTTCTTAGTAACTAAACTAGACTATCTTTATAATTCTTCTACTCTCACTCCATATTACTTTTATTTCAGTGGACTCAGCGTCTGAAAAGGCTTGCTAGCAAAAACTCCTAACTTATAACACTAAGGGTTCAAAATTGTTATAACGTGCTATGGTTCAACAATGACTTGGTGTGTTTAAGATGTCCATTCCTGAATCAGCTTGTAACCAATCAAATGCCAGAGAAATAAACTACCCAGCAATGTTTATTCTGTGCACAAGAACTGCGCATTTTTTCATTCCATTATAATTTTGCTTGAGACTACTTTTCTGTAGGAATCGGCTGTAAGTTCAAAAGACATCCCTTCTATTCAAAATGTTTATCTTGACTTAAGCCAACAGCCATTGAAACGTGCTAGAAGTAGATTATCAGGTTTTACTCGTATAGTCCACGAAATAAGGCATTCTTCCAGCTTTACTAACTTTAAAATTTTTCATATTTCGTTGTATTAAGAATGATACAGCAGTTTCTTTCAATAACTCGGATTCTTCGTTTAGACACCCAATCTGGTGTTGATACTTTTGTTTAGCACTTCAGACTCATGAAGCGTACGTTACCCTTAATACGATAAAGTGTGTAGCCCCTTCAAGCTGAAAGAATTTAAAGTATAGCAAACCCTTCTCAGCTTAGCCGTTTCAACTAAGCAGTTCATTTCTAACACGTAACGATTACCAGCCTGGTCCAAATAAACATCCTGAGCGAGAAGAAACTTCCGAGACTGTAACGGTCCCTCATGCAAAACACAGTCGTTGGCGAATAACTGGGAGGCAACTCAAGGAGACATTTTACTCTTCTTTACTGAACTAACATGCCAGGCCTATTCGTTCCTGGAGCACTTTAACGGCTGTAGTCTCGTTCGACTATAAGGCTCAAACCGCAACGGGATCGCACCACGTTGTAATCATGTTTAGCCTTTGCGGTTCTGGGTCAAGAGTTCTTCCCTGCGCACAAATCTTTCTCAGGCGCCTTGTTCACTGAACTAAGCGTCAAAACAAAGGTAAAGAATTTATTGTTAATTGAAAGTATAACTCCCCCTGAGTTAAACAGCGAAAATTAAGCATCATTCCTAAAAAACTGGACTTTTCTCAACAAGTACGTGTTTTTATTTCAACAAGATTTTCAGTGGCAAGCTAGAAGCGGGATTTCTTGTGTATCATAAGTAGGGTGAAACTGAACTTCAAAACCTCCAAATATGCTGCTTATTTCGTCTTTTAATCCTGGTTTTTTAGGGAATGACTTCTTTCTAATGCCGCTGTTCTGCCCTTTCAGTTCCTATCGGTTTGTGCTTGGTTTACTCACCGTTTGAGAAGTACGTAGTATATGTCGTAACCCTTTCACAGCTGACATGATGGTTTTTTAAAATGGTAAAATTTTGGCTGCACCAGCAGAGCAATCTCTTTTCCAAACTTAAATTGATTTAATCTTTGGTAGACTTACTGCATCGAGCCTTGATGAGGAACAGATTTTTATTAAAAGCTATTTTTCTCCTGATAAAGTTTCAGAGAACCGAACCCATTTACCTTTCACTCGGTAATAGTCTCCGGAATACTGAATTTACCTTGTGCAGCTAGTAGTATTTCAAAGTTTATTTATTACACTAAACAATTCAAAGTGAACGGACAGAAACAAATGAATGTAAAAAAAGGCTTGAGCGCTGTACGAAAGTATGACAGAACAATAAAGCGCTATCGATTCTGAATGGACTAAAGTTCTACTTTGGGAAAGCTGGGTGGGTCCGAGCAATTTTTTAACTTTACTGAAGGACTGTGGGACATGCAAGAGCACCTGAGATAAACTTTTTTGTGATGCTGCTTCGGGGCAGCTTAGAAGAAATGAATTATAGGATGTGCGTAAGCGTCGATTTGAAAGACCACAATTTTTGTGCAGAGATGAGAAGATTCAAGATGATACAGTCCTACAATGTATTCAAAGAAATGGTTGTAAACCTTCTACACATAAATAATGTCGACAGGAGAAAAGAAGCCCTGTTAAAACAGGTTTGTCAGTTGTAAGTGGCGAAAGTTATCAACACAAAAAGTAAACGCTAAAATTTCATTTGAAACAACTAACCTGAACTGATGGGCAATTTGTTTATTTCCAACTACAGTATAAGCGTTATTTTCCGGCCCTACTGTTACTATAATCATCAATTAAAAGCGTTAGTTCTAAGAAAAGCAAAAAAAATATTTCGGGCATTGCCTTAGATGTATCCAATAAAAATTTTTTGTTGTAATAATGTCCGTCGCTTAGCTGTCTGAAGTTTTCACATCTAAAATATTCGAACAGCCACTATTTTAATGTATACCCGATCTTTAAAACAAAAAACTCATCGATCAACAGGTTTGAAACCTAAAAAAGCTGCTCAAATCCACTTTACGCCATCTTCGCAAAGCAGGCGTCATGACGAAAATTTGAACAGTAGTTCCATACTATAAATAATCATTGATGATCACTTTTCCACTAATTTCAATGCTCAATTTGAAAACATTTCTGCAGTTTTCTCCTAGTACTACTCCGAAAAACTTTTTTTTTGACTAAAATCTAAAGCATTTTGCTTCTCCCTAGTAACAAACTCAAATTATTTTGTTGTTGCTCACCTGGAAATGGTCAACAATGTTCCGTTCAACAATGGCATTGCAAATGTAAGGGTGGGCCTTCTTTAATAAATTCTATTACTCGCGAAAAAAAAAAAGAACTTTCGTGAAAAAGGCAACAGTTCTCCCCGTAATGTACACGTCATTGTCAGTGCAATAGCCTTCAGTACTATTTTAGACAGCTAATGTTTTTGGACTTCTTCACCTACTACTTTTTTTTTTCTTACAGCGTCATAAATCAACAGCCAGTCAACAAATAACATAAAGTAGCAACTGATAGGAAAAAAAAAAAGAGATAGACTTTGCGAGTAATTAGTACGGAGTTTTATCGACTTTAACTTTCCAGGCTTCAAATGGTTTCAGCATTTCCTCTACGCCGAACGGTTCCAGTTTTCGATGTTCATCACTCTTTGGATTCTTTAGAAAATCATGAAAATTCCTATCATCAAATCCGTACTTCGCGGCCTGAAAAACAGTGTTAAAGATGACCGTTTTCTTTGAAGCGGTTAACAGGTCGACAAATTCTAATCAGCAGTCCGTCTCCTTTTTCCTCATTTTGAACTAGCTTTTTCTATTTTCTAAGAATGCATAACAAAAAATGAGCAACACAAGTTCCTTTATTGATACACAAAAATGAATTATCATGTAAAAAATTAAAGAAAAAAACCAAACTAACATCATCTGCTGTGGCACCGTAATAGATGCTATCGAGGCGAGACCATAAACAAGCCCCCAAACACATTGGACAGGGAAAACATGAGGTATACAACACACAACCCTTTAAGTCAAAATTTTTCGCTTTGGAACAAGCATTTCTAATTGCCGTTATTTCTGCATGAGCTGTACAATCGTTAGTCCGCAATACCTTCAATTAAGCATAACAGTTCTGCAGAAAAAAACTTGTAAAGCTTCTTAGTAAAACCATGTTCACGTACTTCAAAGAACTCTAATTTGTAGTTTCATGCGTTAGAAGAAAATCTTCTGCGTAAATGATGTACAACTAATCAAAAGCAATCTTTTTTTAGCCTTATTCTTCCTCCTCGCTCTACGGCAACTTTTCCCATGTTTTTCCCAACACTTCAACACAACTTTTTCAAAGCGTTTTCAGCCAGCTTACAAAAATCAACCAGTCTCCTTTGAACACCTTTGACAACTTTACTGCGATCACAGCTCTCACGGTTAAAAGCTCTTAACCTTGCCCGCTGCTACTTATAACGTTTATGCAAATCTTTTTTACAGATCAAAAAAATCAACGATTCAGTGTATAATCTCTCATAAAAAATAAAATACTTTTTTTCAAGTCTTCACTTCCACTTCAAGTCCTACTCAAAACGGCAAAAATAAAAAGCACGAAAAAAGTCGGCATGCATTTCCCTGGTTAGTGGTCTCAACCACTTTAAACTTTTTATCCACAAAGACGTGGAAAAAACCATCAATCACTAGTTTGGCTTACTTACCTAATGATTATCATCATCGAGAGCTGTTTTGCAGATTTGAGCACTTAGAGCAAAAAATAGCAGCTTGCAGCTCTTCCCCTTGTGTAAAAGGCTTATTAAAGAACTTGATGCCCAAAACCTGATAAACAGTCTGCCAAAAATACGATTGCCCATCAGCATAAACTGTTTATTTAGTGCGGAAAAGCACAAGTTCATTCTTGAGGAAACAGCTTTTGAAAAATGAAAAGGAAATATAAAACACAGACGTAGGGAAGTAGTGCAGCAATAGTAATTTTAAGTTAGGAACTAGTGTACAAGCAGAAGCCAAACCATGAGAAAGACAGCCGGAGATCAATTTACACAATATTTAGAAAAAGGTGTAGAGATTTGTATCATATATTAGGAATATGTGAAAAAGAAAAGTAAAGGCAGCTTTATCTAATTTGCCAGCAGTCCTGCACCAAAGAATTGAACACATCTCAAACAGTTTTCAGTGTCCCAAAAATACCGCAGTTGATATCTGTCTACTACATATACCAGATACGCAGTCATTTAGTTAGCTATGACTTATTCAACCAATCAGCTTAATGTAGCGACTAGACTGAGAGGGTACGAGAAAACAAATTTTAGGACTTCAAATGGAGTTATAAATGAACTGTTAAGCTACAAGAAAACCAATACTATTATATCTGTAGTATTAACTAAAGTTACAGTGCTAATATATGAACCTATACTTAAGTCTCAACAACGATAAAATTATTAGCAGACCATCTAAAGTCCTTATTACGCTTTTCAGAATAACCTTTCCTAGCACTGTATGCATTTGGAACAACAATAAAGAACTTCTGTGTAGAGCTGAACTTTAGCACCAAAACATAAAAGTTTCTAAAACCTTTTACAGAGCTGCAGCTAAAAAAGAAATTTTAAACCAAAACTGTAGATTGAAAAAAATATATATAAAAAAAATTTTACCATATTATGACCAGTTGCAAAAATTTTGCCATCTTTAACAATAACTGCACCAAATGGCCCTCCATCTCCAGATGCAACTGCAACGCAAGCTTCCTCAACAGCTTTCTGCATATATTCCTTCTCCATTCTTGGTGGCAACTACAAATCAGTTTTTCCGTATTTTGTTATGATAACAAGAGATTAGACGCCAGTGACCATTAAACATCATTTCAGCGTCAGTTCTTTTCTTTTTTAAACTCAGTAAACTTGTTCATTCAAGAGATCTTATAATCAAGAACTTTTTTTTTTGAACAAAAAGCATCTTAAAACGCGAGAATAAACTATAAAGTTTTTTTAGACCATTAGTAAACAGTTGGAAAATAAGAAGTGAAAATTGACAGAAAATTTACAAAATAAAATCAAAAGATCGTTTATTGAATTGCGCACAATTTTACTGTCAGAAAATTTGAAAAGAACAATGTAGGACTAAGCAGCAAATATTTACTATTTAAATCAGTTGATCTATCGTAATCAAAAAAAAAAATTGAGTGGTAGTTTCAAATATTACTTTAACTTAAGCTTACACTTGTTATATTCATCCTAAGCACCAAAAATATAACAATGTGTTTTATTGCAAAGAAAAAAAAAAGCCATAAAAATGGTGACATTGACAGCAATTAAACAGTTTTATATAGTTTTATATAGCTTTTATACTTTCTAATGCAGATCATTTTAAAAAGCTAAATTAAAGATCATTTTTTTTGGTATGAAACAAAATTTTAGGATTGTTATCTTATTGTAGTAAAACGAAAAAAAAAAACAAAAGAAACAGTAATTTGTTGCAAAAAAAAAATTGTATAAACACGTGTACCAATGAACATAAAATATGAACAATAAAATATGAAGCATAAATTTCTCCAAATCTTCAACAAAAGGAAAAAACAGAAAAAATAAGCAAAATGAAAGAGATAGTAAAAAAAAAAAAAATTGTTGGCATAACCGTAAACCATTGATGGCAGAATGAATGCTGTCGAATAGGTTGATAACAGTACCTGAAATGTGAAAAATTCTTTGTTAAACCTATTTAAAACATGTGGGTATACGTGTAATACCATAATCAATAGTATTAACAGATGCTGAAAAAACGAAGGGGAAGGGAAGGGGGAATGTAACGGTAGCATTATTTAGTGATCATTTCTCATCCCTTTTTTAAATATATGAAACAAGAGAAAACTGAAGTGGAAAAAAAAACTGTAAAATTAGCCATCAACTTTCAACTATAATCAATAGTATGACCAAATGATTTGTACCACATACATACAACAAACATACCACAGCCTACGTTCATTGATATCAAACAGAATTCAAAAGAAGCTGAGGTAATGATGACTGAATGAAAAGTACATAACACAGAAGGGGTTTAGTCAATTAATTCCTTTCCTTTTTTTTTTTTTTTTTTTTTTTTTTTTTTT